ATGCACCTCGTGGCGAATTGATTGACAGAGCGCGGTCATGGGATCTGTCCCGGATGCGAATGTGCAGGCGCGCAGGTGAGAATCCTAACTATGTAAGACGCCTTGGGGTGTCATTTTGCTTTTGGCGTGCTCTATTGGCTTGGGTGGCGGGTATTGACGATGCTTAATTCGTTTTCCAGAGAAAGCATCACTGGGAAGGGTTTCAGTGAATTTCGGAGTCAATGCATACTAAGGATATTATATCGTTTAAACCAGAGGCGACTATGCATTGTCAACGGGTCCGTAGTATCAACGCCAGGCAGACTATGCATGGCGAGGTTCGTTATGAAGCAAAGCAGAGTGAGATGGTCAGGCAGAGGTCGACGGTGCACCAAGCTCACAAACGTTGTTGAACGCGTATGGGGTCTGCAGGAACAATGCTGAACTCGCAACGTGTCGTCTAGGATCTCGGCAAAGCGAGATCAGGCGCAGCCTTAACCGCAGGCCTCTGTTGCTTCTGATTTTGGGCGGAGGGACTTGAGCTGTTTGCGCTCGGTGTGCATGGGATTCAGAGGTCTGTTAGCGATGATCGTTTGAGTCTGGCAGGAGACTGCACAGGCATGACGGCACATCAATTTCCTGTGCAGGTGCAAACGGGTCGCATGGCCTCAGTCTGGGCTTTTTCTGTGATTGCCGTACGTGTTGAACATTTTGGAGTGGCTTGGTTGTTCGAAAAGGAAACACTTCCACATGGGTCGCTATGACGCCAACTGCATCGTTTTGATGTTGGCACTAAGGTTGCGGTTTGGTCGATCGCCTTGGTTAATCAGGTCCGTTCGGCGGTAGGCGTATATAGGCAGCGTATGGCGGTTGCCAACCGGATCGGCGTGACTGGTGATGGCGGCGTTGCGGAGTATGCCTTCGAGTGTGGCAGTGAAGCGATGAAGCGATTGAGCCTTCTTTGGTTTTGCGACATCGTCGGTCTTTTGCACAGGCAGTATGCGCTTAAGAGGAAGCCCAGTGGCTGGGTTGGGTGCGCGCATGGGTTCGTTTACGTTTGGAGCTTTTGCGAAAAGGAAACACTTCCACATGGGTCCCGATGCAGCCAACTGCAGCGTTTCGAACGTTGTACTAGTGTTGCGTTTTGGTCCGTCGTATGGGTAGAAATAGGCTCCGTTTTGGAGGTAGGCGTATAGCCCGCGCATGACGGTTGCCAAGCGGATCGGTCTGAGTGAGGATGGCGGCATTGCGCAGCTTGCTTCCGCGAACGCCAGTGACGCGTTGGAGCCTTCTCTGGTTTTGCGACATTGTCGGTCTTTTGCACAGGCAGTATGCGCTTGAGAAAAAACCCAGTGGCTGGGCTGGCTGTGCAAATGGGTGCGTTCACGTTTGGAGCTTTCCGACGGTAGTCAGGGGCGCGCGTGTGCACACGTTGAGATGCATGGAGTAACCGTCTGAGAAGGCGAGGAAATTTATTTTGCTTTCGCCCTGCTCTTCATTTCTGTTTGCTTGGACGGCGCGTATTGTCGATGC